CCCCCGCCACGCCGCCACCCCCCTCTCTACCTCCGGCCTCTCCAGGGCGTCCCCTTTCTGCCTCGGGGTCCGTGCTCCTGACCAAGGCTTCCCCGTCCTTGGTCCCTGGCCCCCCCAAGACTTCCACCACCCCCCTTGGGCCTCCTGGGCTCTCTGAGGCCACCTCACACCCCAGCCCCCAGCAGCCTCCCATGGGGACCCCCGGGAAGGAAGAGTCCCCTGTCTGAGGGGCCCCGGCCCGAGGGACTGAGGGTGAGATCCCCGATGGGACAGTGGCGGGGCAGACACCTGGACCGGTGTGGCCTTGTTCCCAGCTGTCCTGTGAGAGGAATCAGTGCTGCTCTCCAGGTCCTCCCTGGGCCACAGGGTGGCCGCACTGTGGGCTTCTGAGGAGGACAAGACTGCCGAACCCTCTGGGGAGGAGGCCAGGCCCCTGTTCCCACCACAGCGCCCCATTAAATGATCTGTGTCTCCCAATCTGCCGCCGCTTCATGTTGCCCTTGCCCAGGCCTCCAGGGGGCAGAGCCCGGGAGCTGGAAGGAGGTTGAGCTGCTTGCTCACTTGCTTTCTTTCTGCAGGGACCCCTGACTCTGGTCCTGGTCCCCCAAGCAGGCCTGGACACAGGATTTGGGTGAGAGTCGAGGGGGGAAGAGTGACTGCGGTCACTGCCCAGTGTGCTGGCCCAGCCCTGAGGCCGCGGGAGGTGTGTGGAGATGTGTGCAGCTCTTCTGGCCGTGCCAGTGATCGGCGCTTTTACGCAGGAGCCGCTGCTTGGGGTGCTGGGCTGAGGGCTGGGCTGAGGCCTGGCCCAGCCCCTCTGCTGGGCAGTGGCATTTCGGACACCAAGGGGCAGGTGGCACGGTCCCCGGTCGCAGAGGCCCCTGGGCGTGTACTTGGGGTGCCCTGTGCAGCAGCTTAGTGTCCTGGTGACCTCTCTCCGGTGCACCTGGCCTATCCCAGGCCAGTGCTCACCAGAGCCATCATCTGCCCCACTGAGCCATCCGGCCTCGGGCTGGGCCATAGTGGTTACTGGGCCCCCAGTGTGGGCTCGGAGCCTCCGGGCGGCAGTATGGCCAAACCCTGGAGGCCCAGTGGGGTCAGAGGCAGTGGGCCCTGGCCCCGTTGTACCAGCCCCTGCCTGGCCATCACTGGGGCGAGGAGGGGCTGTGGCTGGTGCTGTGTGCCCACCTGAGCTGGCTGAGTCCTCAGCACCTGGCCCCAACATCTCAGCTCTCCTAGCCTCAGTTTCCACGCTTAGAGTTCCAGGAAGCTGTTGGGGATGAGAGTGGCTCTGTGGCCTCAGTTTCCCCAATCCTGGGGCGTTCCAAGGGCAGGTCCAGACCTGCTTCTAGTGGCTGGTCGTGGCGACTGAGGCCACCTGGCTGAAGACAAACCACAGTTCCTGATGAGAATGAACTTCTGGAGGTTACAAAATAGCTTTATACAACTTGTTCTGGTTGTGTAGAGACCCCCAACCCCCAGCGCCAGTACCGGGAATCGAACTCAGAGATGGTGAGCTACACCCTGGCCCTTTTTACTAATTAATTCTTTTTGAGACAGGTCTTGCACTGTAGTTTGGGCTGTCCTTGAACTCACAGTGACTCTCCTGCCTCAGGCTCCTGAGTGCTGGTATTACAGGCCTGTGCCACCATGCCTGGCCATTATTTTTATTTTGAAATAAGGTTTTGCTAATTTCCCAGGCCAGCCTCTAACGTTTGATCCTTCTGCCTCGATCTCCCAAGTAGTTGGGGTACAGGTGTGCTCCCCTGCACCAGCTTGCTGTCTTATAAAGTCTGCAGGGGCCCCGTCTGGGTGCCCAGTGTGAATGTCCCCGCTTGCAGCTGCACCCCATGGACAGGCCCTGGGGCCGCTGCACACCTGGCTCCGACACAGTGCTCCGAAGAGTGCCTGGAGGGGGTCCTCGGAGCCATTCCGGAGGCACAGCTGCAGTCTCCAGGGCCTTCCTCGGGCTGCACCAGTTTATCCTTGGCTGCAGTGCACGGGGGCGGCCTTGGGGTGGGACAAGAGCTCAGAGACTCTCGGTCGGAACGGCTCTCCTGGCTGCGGCGTGGGAAGATGGACACTGTGCTCCGAGGCCTGAGCCAGGCAGGAACAAAGCCACACCAGTCCTACCTGCCCCGCCTCCTGCCCTGCCTGCCTTCCTCCCCTTCCTTCTTTTCCATCTTTTAAAAGTTTTCCAGTGCTGGGATGGAACCTAGGGCCTTGTGCCTGTCAGAAAAGTGCTCTGCCCCAAGTGACAACTCTGGCCCTTGCCTCCTTTTAAAAAGTCATCTCTTTAGGGCCGGGGATTTAGCTCAGTGGTACCTGCTGCCACCTGCCTCGCAAGTGCAGGGTCCTGAGTTCGATACCCAGTACCAATAAAAAAAAAGACAGCTCTTCAACAGGCACAGTGACACAAGCTTGTAACCCAGCACCGTGGAGCCTGAGGCACGAGGCTCTCTGTGAGTTTGAGGATAGCCTGGGCTACATAATAAGTTCAAGGCCATTCTGGACTACATAGCAAGATCCTGCCTCAACACCACCCACAATACCCCCCGCAAAACAGAGAACCATGGAGCTGTGGGGAGTGGGCTGGGAGTGGTAGGAGGGCCTTAGGACATGGGGTGATGGCACTCACCCCAAACCTTCCCAGACTGTCTCTGGCCATGTTCCTAGCAGACAGCCTGAACAGCAAGAGCAGTGGCAGGGATGGGATGGGAGGGACAGGTCAATGGATTCAGCAGCACAGGTGGTCGGCGGCCAAGCCGTGAGAGCTGCAGTGTGTCAGCTTGCAGCAGGACTTGTCAGAGCCTTTGTCAGGACCCAGGCCTGTGGGCCTTGGAGAAGGGCAGGGAGCAGCACGCCTGATGCAGTGCTTACTTTGAAACTGCTTTTCCTGCTGGGGATTTAGCTCAGTGGCCCTGTACCTGCCTGGCACCTGCTTCCCAAGCACAAGGTCCTGAGTTTGAACCCTTGGACCAAAACACTATTTTTCCTGTGACATTTTGCTGCCAAATATCCTTTGAGAAACACAGTGCCTACCACAGTCCCAGGCCAGAGCGGCGTGTTTGGGGCTGGTGCCGTGGCGGCACAAGGATTTACCAGCAGACCTGAGCAGGATGAGAGTTGACTGTGCTCTCACCGTGAGGAAGGATGGCAGGTGAGCTTCCAAGACGGGAGCTGAGCAGTCAGGGCGAGGGCCTGGGGCCGAGCTGGCAACGCAGGAGTCTCAGAAACGCACTCTGGGGCATGCTGCTCCCCCTGACCTGCAGATCCTTGAGGGTCGCTGGTGTCTCGCATTAGAGCCACAGGACACAGCGCCAGTTGTCTGGGTCCCAACCTTCAGGGCGACCGTAACATCTGCGCAGGAGGAAGGGAAGGTTTCTGAGTCTGGGTGATCTGCTGTTTTCAGTCCTCCCTGGTGTGATGCTTCCTGATGTCCGAGGCCTTCTGGGCAGGAGCAAGTTGGTGAGAAGTTTGGGCACTGAGGACTTTCGCCATCTGTCACCACACACAGGGCCAACGGGACTGCAAATGCCCTTTGGGGGCCAGGCCCCTCTGATGCTCTCAGCTCCTCCTCTCCTCACAGCTGAGTCGGGACACATGGCCCAGCATGGCTGGTTCTGGGCTGGTGCGCCCTTTGGTCTTGGCTGCCTTAGGAAAGTGCTGCCCACGTGACTGTTCGCCACTGCCCCAGTGGGTGTGGCCATTTCTGCCCCTTTGTTTTGTTTGTGGTCTTGGGGATCAAACCCAGGGACTTCACACTGAGTGACACCCCAGCCCTTTTGAGTGTTTGTTTTGAGATAGGATCTTACTGAATCACTAAATAGCACAGGCTGGGCTTGAACTTGCGTTCTTCCTGCCTCAGCCTCCTAGAGTGCTGGGCTGTTAGACATGTGGCCCAATTCCCAGCTTGCCCTGATGTTCCTAGGGATGGGGAGGAGAAATACCAGTAAAGATAAGCAGCCTCACAAGCTGCTGAGGAGTTTCTGTTTTTAGTCTATGTGACTGGCATAGCAAGAGACGGGCTGGAATCCAGTTCCCTGGTCCCCAATGGGGAGGGGCCCCTGGAGAATCATACACTTTTACAGAGGCCCTGGACAATGGCCACACCTTGCTGCAAATGCCTAGGTGCCCCCAGACATGAACTGTGAGAGCCAGGCCTACTGGAGATGACACAGAACTGGTGGACAGAGATGTCCCTGAGGCTGGGCCCTGAGAAGCCTCAGAAGCCATCGAGGAGCCCCGTTGGGTCTGGAGAAGAGAAAGCAGCAGAGGAGCCCTGGCTGCAGCCCGTGTGTCATGACTCCGTCCACATGTCCCCCAAAGCCTCACGCAGTTCCAGGTGGGACTTCTTCAGAGGTGGTTGGCTCTAGAGTGAGTGAGGCTGGGGTTAAAGATGTGCAGTTTCTAAGTCAGTCCACTGATTGGCTGTGCACTGCCCTAGCCCTGGTAGCCTAGGTACCTACCAGGGACAGAAAGAGGCTTGGTCTGCCCCCTTGTTGCTTTGCTACCTTTGGTCCTCCGTGAACTGTTGCCCTCTGCCCTGTGCCCCCTGCCTTGGAGCGGCCGACTATGGACTGAAGCCTCTACACACTGTGAGCTAAATAAACCCTTTCATTTTTAACTTTGGGTTTGTGTGTTTGGTCTCGGCAAGGAGAGAAAAGTAACTAAGACTGAATTTGGTACCGAGATTGGGGTCATTGCCGTGACATCACCTGCCTATGTGGTTCAGGATCCTTGGGGAGTGGCTTATGGGAAGAGTTTGGAAAGGTTGGGAGCTGCCATCTGAAAAAGTAGAGCTGGAACGCCTTGGACTGTACTTGAGAGGAGATTCTGGCCTGCGCCCAGAAGACCAGAAGGCTGATAGAAGTGATGTTGATAAGACCAGGCTTGGGAGGTTTCTGCTGGCTGCTGGATTCCAGAGCATGTTTGTTATACCTTGGCAGGAAGTCTGTCTGCATTTCACTCCTGTCCAGAGACTCTGCCTGAGACCGGGATGCAGGGCAGAGGACTACGTAATCTGCCCGGGGAAACTTCAAGGAAGTCTAATGTTGAGGCAGTGGCACAGATGGTGTTGGGGGTTTTAGCCAGATCTGTGCTGAAAATCAAGAGCAAAGAGCCCAGCAGAATGATTTAAAATGTATGAGTTTGGCCAGAAAAGAAGCTCCAGGAAAGCTGTGGACTGCAGAGATAGAGCAGAAGAGATCCTGATTACTGAGAAGGGACAGGACAAAAAGAAAAGGGCCCAAGGGCATCAGAAAAAGCAGCAGGACTCCACCCTTTGCAGCCAAAAAATTGCAAAAGTGAAAGACTGTGCTTGGAGGTGACAGCCCAGAGCGCCATGTTCCAAATGGCAGTGGTTTATAGAGAAGTTGTTCCTTGGGATT